AATTCAAATTTCATTAATTTTCTATTTACATTTCTGCAAATATGTTTCTTATAGATGCTACGGTCTTTTAGTTAATTTTCTACACGTTAATTTAAGCCATTCTCTTTCATATGAAAGGGTTTTGATTTTTACAAATCCGAACATTTTCTCTTGACATTATAAAGCACCCACTTTTAAATCAATAGCATCCATCAGACATAATAATGTCACAATGGAAACATTCAAATTCAAACCTTATATAACCCCTTTCTGCAAAACAGCTCTTGTGAATTTATTTTGAATCATTTTTTTCTCTCCCGACAAAACCACGTGGAGACATTAATCAAGTTTATTCGAATTGCAAATTCGAGCGCAACTACAAGAATAGGAAACGCATATAAAAGAATTACTTATTATAATATTGTATATGATTAATATGTTGTTGCTCTGATATACAAAATAAAGATTTTTACTGGCAATTTCAAATAAACTATTTCTGCCTGGCAAACCATTTTCAACATATGATTCTAAATTTCAGGTGACCATTATTGTTTTTGGCAACCCTGCATTATTGATACTCCTAACTTGTTATATCAGGATATTTTAGCTGACGACTAAGCCAGAATGACAATTGCCAATAAAAGTTATACGTTTGAATTTTTTTAACTGCAATTTACTGCAATTAAAAAAAATAGCTTACTCCTATTTTTTAAATTTTAATAGATTTTCAGTATTAGGGCCAAAAAAAAGCAATTTTAGGTCGCTTGACGTGATAGGCCGAGTTCAATAAAAATCACAGTAATTTATAGTCATTAGACTTAGAAACCTATTTGGTGGTTCTATTATTCCTGACAACCTAAATTTTAATATACATAATATTTGAAAAAAATGTTTAAAAAATTTTATCTGTCAAAAAATTTGGACATTTTATTTTTTGACATTTGACATTTTTCATGTCTGTTTAATGCTACCGATGATCTTTTATATGTTTACAAAAACTTTGACTATAAAAGCTACAAATGCAGGGTGCGCCAGAACTCGCGCCCCAGGTAAGGTAAGGTAAGATACAAGGAACATGGAAAAAATGTTAAAAAAATTTTATCTATAAAAATTTCGAAGTTATGAGGGTTAAAATTTTGCACTTTAACTCTATTTATTTCTGTTGGAAAAATCATTCTCCAAGTTTTTTTGCTATAGGCTATTAAAAGAGGAAACAAGGAAACTGTATCCTAAATTGCAACTCTTTTCAAGGTTATTTGTGGCTTTAATCGCCAAAATTTTTGTACCTTTACTAAATAATTGTAAAAAAACATATACAAGATTATCAGTATCATTAAGTAGACATAAAAAATGTCAAATGTCAAAATTTTTTGACAGATAGAATTTTTTAAACATTTTTTTTCATGTTCCTGGTATCTTACTTTATTTGAAAATTTTCTCTGGGGCGCGAGTTCTGGCGCACCCTGTAGTTACAAGTCAGTAGAGCTTCTTTGTTTCCTCTTCTAATACCTTGCAGCAAAAAACATGTAGGTAAAATTGTTTTGCTAACAGAAATAAATAGGGTCAAAGTGTAAAATTTAAACTCCCATAATTTCTAAATTTTGAACAACCAATCAGATTTCAGGATTTTGAAGTTAATCACGATCACGATTGACTTAATTTTTATTTAATTCGCTTTTTGTAAACTCACCCTCAAATTTTGAATATTTATTGTTATTTAAACAAAAACTTGTATGTATTTATACATGCATACCTCAAAATTTACAAGTTAAAAAACGCCATGAATTAGTCACGAAACAATTAAGATGTAATTTTCGTACTTTAATAGCAATTTTTTAAGTAAATTTTGTTTCATTTAAACTTTTATACAAGGGTGTGTCAGAACTCGCGCCCCAGAGAAAAATATAAGGAACATGGAAAAAATGTTAAAAAAATTTTATCTATAAAAATTTCTAAGTTATGAGGGTTTAAAGTTTTTATTTTGACTATTTATTTCTGTTGCAAAAATAATTTTCCAAGTTTTTTTGCTATAGGCTATTAAAAGAGAAAACAGCTGTATCCTAAAACAAGCTGAATCCTGAATTCTAACACTGTTAAATGTTATTTGTGGCTTTTATTGGTAAAATTTTTGTCCCTTAACTAAATAATTATAAAAAAACATATACAAGATCACCAGTATCATTAAATAGATATAAAAAAATGTCAAATTCTATCTGTCAAAAAATTTTGACATTTATTTTTTGACAGATAGAATTTTTTAAACATTTTTTCATGTTCCTGGTATCTTACCTTACTTGAAAATTTTCTCTGGGGCGCGAGTTCTGGCGCACCCTGTATATTTGGCTAAAATCATATTTATCGAGATTTGATTATTCTACAAAAAAAACTTTTAAGAGATATAAGTAATATTAATGACTATTCAATTCACATCTCTTTTTTCAAATATTAACCAATAAGTAGCAGATATTTACTTTCGCATCTTAGAAACAACCAATTCAAGCGAATATTCCACTCGTGATAAAATGTTACTTGGATATTCCACGTTGATATGAAAACGCCATTTGGTTCATTGAATAGTCTGTTGAATACAATTCGTAGTCAAAAATTGTAGAATATTTTTATTCATGTAGTCATTAGGCTTGCGAACACTATTCGTGCTACGTACTCATGGTGTATCATAAAGTGATGACTATTCATAAAAATATTCGTCAATTTTTTAATATTAAAATAAAAATGAAAAGTTGAAATTATTACTTTCAACTTTGATCATCTTTCATGAATAACTGTGATTACAATTATTTCAAGAATAGTAGACAAAACTAACGCCTGTTTATTTAAATCTGGCGTCATAGTTGGCAGTGATATGAGTGAGTTGTGAACGGACACAATTTTTAATATTCCCGACGAGGTGTCATATGTCAGATTAATAACTTTCATTACGATGGTTCGTTCACAATCGAGCTTCATGGCTAGCTTTGACGTCAAATTAAAAAAAAAAAATACTACTTATAACCAAAATATTGTCTTTCTATTATGTACCGTGCGATCAAAAAAAAAAGTAAATTAGAGTAGGCGTCGATTAAATTCTACAGTTGGCAACACATTGGCCAACACATGACCATTCACCGTTTTCGCCTTGTACAACATTTTTGTAATAACATGCAACAATAAAAATTTTCTGCTCTAAAGTAAAAATTATTTCACTCAAAATGAATAAAACGCAAACTTGTCAAAGTTTGACGTCAAAAATCAGGATTGCTCTCTGAAGGACTTTAATCACCGCCTACTCTAATTTATAATTTTTTTTAATGGGTACTACATAGGTTGAATAACAAGAAATTCCAGAATGTTTAATTCAAATTTAGTTAAAAAAAACAAAAACCATTCTTTTTAGTGAAATGTGATTTGGCTTAGATTAACTTAAACAACCAATTACAGTTTGTGGACTTTTTGACAAAGTTACATGTTAAGGATAATAATAGTTATTTACGTGTGCGGGGCTGTTAAAAGTCCGTAACGACCGAGGGAATTGTTTGATTAATCCTTGATCCTCCCGCGGAAAGGTTGTGGTGGCACTTGCTACGTGCAAGGCATATAAATATACAGGGTGCCCCAGAACTCGCGCCCCAGAGAAAAATGCCATATAAGGTTAGATACCAGGAACATGGAAAAAATGTTAAAAAAAATTTATCTATAAAAATTTTGAAGTTATGAGGGTTTAAAGTTTGCACTTTGACTCTATTTATTTCTGTTGGAAAAATAATTTTCCAAGTTTTTTTGCTATAGGCTATTAAAAGAGGAAACAAGCTATATCCTAAATTGTAAATCTGTTCAATGTTATTTGTGGCTTTTATTGGCAAAATTTTTGTCTCTTTACTAAATAATTGTAAAAAAACATATGCAAGATCGTCAGTACCTATCCTTAAATAGATATAAAAAAATGTCAGATGTCAATAAATAAATGCCTAAATTTTTTGACAGATAGAATTATTTAAACATTTTTTTCATGTTCCTGGTATCTTACCTTACTTGAAAATTTTCTCTGGGACGCGAGTTCTGGCGCACCTGTATATTTGTCAATATTTGAAGGTTTGAACTATCAAAACTGTCAAAAAAACCGACGTTAAAAAAGGTGGACTGTTAAAATCTTTTAACGGCCCTGTGTGTTAGTAGGATGTTATTGACAAGTAAACCATTGCAAATTGTTGAAAGTCATTTATACCATAACAAAATATGTAGTACCACGAAAATAAATATTCGATTAGTTTTCAAAACAGATCTTTCATTAAAAATCTCTAATTTAAATAACCACGAAGTCCCTTAAGTGTTGTATTTGTTTTTTACTTTTGTAGATATCAACGTATTTAGAAAAGGCTGAATCAAGGTAAAACAAAATTAAAAATTATGATCTTCGTATGCAACTGATGGTTTAAAAACAAATTTCTCATATTATGCCTTTATTTTAAGATACACTGCAAGGCCAGTCAATTTAAAAGCATTGTTGTGATAACAGCAAAGGCAAATTTATTTTTAATTAAATAATCAAATGTTTTATCCTGGTATTTTACCTATAACCCATGCGTTGAAAGCCTCATACGTTACAAAAATAAACATACACTTGTGTTTTTCAACATTTAACCAAAGTTATGTATTTACAGATAAAAATAATATTTTGAATCAGTTTTCCATAAATTACCATCATTGCGGAAATACAGTTAAGTTTATAAATTATGCGCCCTTCAACTTAATTAAGTTTGTTGGAAGTTAAGAAGAAAAAATCGCGACGAGAAAGTGAATCTGATGCGTGAAAGTGCGAAAAAAACTGCGAAAATTTGATTTATGCTGTTGTGATTATTATTAATGCTCCGCTTTGTCGCTAAATTAAATTTGTTTTTGATCAATAACTCGCGCGAAAAAACGACGTGTAGAAACAAAGGACGAAAGATTTTAATTGGTCCATTACTTCCAATAATGTACTAAGCCACATGAAAGACTGTCACTTAATTTATGAATGCACTCACCTCGAAAAAATAAAAAGCGTCTAAAGAAGTGTTGTTTGAGTCGGTTTCGTTTGCATCTTCCATGTATGACATGTCTCAAGATGTAGTTACATGTTGGCCCGTTTCTAGCACAAAAATTCGGAGAGTACTGGCCGAAACGCGGCAATTTTTTTATTATATACCAACAACTTAATTCCAGACACATGCGCGCTAGACGATTTCCTAAAAAAATACAGATTTGCATTTTATTTAAATTGATCAGCATCGGTAAAACAGTGTTGGACAGGTACAATTGATGCATTATTGTTAAAAAAATATTTAATTAGTTCCTAATTCGATGTCAGAGGCGTCTGAGAAACTCTGCTGTCTTCACGCAAGCGGTGCGGTGGTTTTAAAATTGAATAAAGAGACGAGGAAATTGCTAAAATAAACCTCCAATTAACACACAATTTTTGGCCAATAAGATTTTTTCGAGTTACAGTGCCGGCCAATGGCGTTGTGCAATTTCGGTGAAACTGAATATTTTTTAAGGTGAATGGTGTAATTTTCTAAATTTCGTGACTAAAATTGCGAGGATGGATTAGTTGAAAAAATTGTCCAGGGAATGACGCAAATTTGCCGAACATAATGAATTCTGATCTGAAATATTTCGTGGGGACCGTATTTTCGTATTCGAACAATTGTCGCGATAATTCACGTTAAACGTGGGTAAAAAACTAATGGAAAGCGGAGAAGAGTAATTTACGATACAGTTATTACGATTTTATGCCTAGATTTCTTCATTCATGGCATGGGCAGAGGACTTTTGTGCGAGACTGAATGGAAAACAAATAGAGGAAAGTTTGACGAACTGAGAAGTTTCACCCGAACATTTTGTTTCTTTGACACATTGGAGATTATTCGGTTAATCTAATCGAGGAAAAACTCTTTCAGAAAGTGCAGTGACTGTGAAGAAGGGAAACTTGTTGCATTTTAAATGAATAAATATACTTTTCTAATTAAAACTTTTCACTAAATATTTAGTATCAACTTTTGTGATTAGGTATAATGAAAAATTCAAATTCTTGATCACTAAATGAATCTGTTATTAATCTCAAATATAGTTGTTATTTATTCGACGAGTTTGAGTGTAAATCGGACGCTTTATTTCACGAGTGTTAACAATGTAAAATAAAAATACATGGTTGTTTACATGTAAACAACATTTTTGTTTACTTAACAATAAAATCTGTAAAGAACGTAAACAATAGCAAATGTATGATTTTGTTTTCAACTTGAATTCCTAGTTTCGTTGTCACTCTCACTACTTGTTTTAAGTTTTTACACTGTTTTAATTTCGATTAAAATTTTTGCATTTGATTCGTACATAATAATTTGAAAAGTGAAATTTTAAATAAGCAAACCATGAGATTTTAAACGTCTCTCAGAATGTTGTATTTGAAAATGGTGGTGTTAATATACGTAATCAAGTTAAGCAATAAGAAACTTGTGTTTTTTATAAAAAAAAATTAAAAAAGTGAAATAATTGTTTTATATTTTATCTTGGTTTAATAATCTGAATGAATAAAAATATGGAACTTAACGATTTGTGCTTAAACTTTTTATTTTCCGAAAAAACTCATTGAGGGCAGAAGGCAAAACTGTTGAACCACCAGATAGCGCCACCATCGGCGAAGCCAAAAAATGTTTATCGAGTTTACGTACACAATTCACAATTCTGCCCATGAGATGTAACTCAAACGAAAGAACATATTTTTATCTTTTATTTGAGATCATCGCCGTACATGGAATTCTCCTGGTTTGCTTGTCTGTACATCTCTTAACCCCGGTGTCCTCTACTCATTCTCAAATATGTTTCGAAAAACGCTGTTTCAATTTTGGTACATAACTATGAGATGCATTGTGTAATATTAAATATTTGTATCATTTAGTAGACATTTAAATTTTGTTGAGAATTGTCTGCTATAACTTGAGGAATAGCAAGTTTTTTTTAAAAAAGGCTGAAATTTTTGTAGGAAATGGAAGCAGTTGTTGTAACTTCATTGTCAGTAATCTCTGCTCTAAGAGTATTTGAGGCTGTTTTTCTTACTTCTTTGATGCTTCCGACAATAATAAATTCTCTAGATGCTTTGGTCTATGTACTTTATATGAAGATATGAGAAAGCTGTCCCTCTTTTTTCACATTTTCTAATTGCAGGTCAGTTAATTCATCTGCTCTGCAAGCAACTCCAAGTTTAATTATTAAGGCAACCTTAAATATGAAGTTATTATTAGTTTCATTACATCAAACATTCAAAACGTTTTATCTTTATTAATAAAAATTCTTTATCTCCAGCTTCTTTTAAAAATGTTGAAACATCCTCTTTTTTTAAAATACTCTGGATTTCTTTGGCTTGTGGCACATTGATTGCTTTTTGAAAAAAGCAATTAATAGTTATTTATTCGACGAGTTTGAGTGTAAATCGGACTCTTTATTTTACCGAGTGGATTTTTAAACCACGAGTGTAACGAGTGGTTTACCATCCACGAGGTGGAATAAAGCGTCCGATTTACACTCAAACGAGTAGAATACAACATTTTATTCTTCGAATTAGAGTCAACAAGGCTTAAACTTGCTTTAAATCTGTTAAAAATAATTTTACGTTTTGTATTGAGAAATGCCAAACAATTGTCAAAACTTCCTTACACGGGAGAAAAACCGTAAATTTTGACAGTGTCGAAGAATAAAAGATTAAATTGACTAATATTTTGCTTCAATTTGACTGTAGCTCGCAGCATTGAATAGAAAGTCCAAAGACTGGAGCACTTATAATTCTTCAAAAACTGACAATGTTATTTTTTCTTTTGCTTCAGGTTTAATTTTCTTGGAGGTAAAATGGCGAGCATTAAATTTTTGTAGGTAATGTCATTTTGAAACTTTTTATCAAAAAAAAATTGTTTCCCTATGTAATTTTAAACATTTTTTTTTATGTTCCTGATGGTATCTTACCTTATTTGAAAATTTTCTCTGGGGCGCGAGTTCTGGCAGGAAAATGTATCCTAAACTTATCTCTTTTCAATGTTATTTGTGGCTTTTATTGGCAAAATTTTTGTCTCTTTACTAAATAATTGTAAAAAAACATATACAATATCATCAGTATCATTAAGTACATATAAAAAAATGTTAAATGTCAAAATTTTATCTGATGTTGTCAACCTTCTTTAAAAAATGAATATAAATGTCAAAACACCATGCCAAAAACTAATTAACAAATATTTTATTGTGTTGCCAGTCTCTAACTTCAACAAAGTGAAAATAAATAATTACCATGCTTGAGAAAGAATTTTCTGAAGATGAGGTAGCTGATCAGTTGGGACTCATAAGAAGTTCCGTCAATTTGAAGACAGCTATTTGACATCCACATGTCCGTTTCACATGAAGGCATGTTAGGTAATGACTACCAAAATTTAATGCTCGCAGTTGTACACCAATCAATGAATCGTTTATGATTTATTTGGTAAAAGTAATGAGACATTTGGAGTAGCTTCATCAAATTCGAAGAGCAGATTTTTTGTTTTTGAATCACTCATTATTATGGTATTACTATATTGATACACAATTTGTACCAAAAATTTTTTCACATTTATTTAAAAAATTGTTTGCAAAAAATTTGAGCGGTTGTATAATACTCCGTAAGTTTTTTGAATGGAACTTATAGATTTAGATTTTTTTAGAGTTTTTTGAATTGGGCAGATGTAGATAAAGTTTTATATTATCTACAGCTAATCGTGTGCTTACAAATGAAGCTCAGAGTGAAGACCTTGTCATTGCAATCATTGACACGTGTAAGTTTAATACGAGGGTTGTTTGATATGTCTGGTAAAAAACTATGACCTCGTGCGTCAATTAATTTAGCGAACCGCATGTGAGAGTGAGAGTAAGTCTGTCAAAGTTTCAACAAAAAGTGACAAAAAGTTAGAGAATTTAAAAAATAAGTCGTTTGAACAAATTTCGAGAATGGAAAAAAAAACGAATTTCGCTCACGATGTTTTTCGTGGCGTTTTGGTTATCTAGATCACCGAATGCTCCTCATACCTCATTTACCTCCTTTCTGTTAAGCACCTGGTTTTTAAATGCTGAGAAGAAATGTTCGAAAGCTGAAAACCCACAACTTTGCTTAATTGTTCACGTTTTTACTCGGAGACTTATCGATTTAGTTGCGGATTTAGAGCTGTCATTCACTACGAGCCTATCTGGTTTAAGATAAATGAATGCTCATTTAATTTGGAAATATGTTCATTAGTATAATATAAATTGTTTTTTCTTGTTATTTTCCGGTAAACTAATGACTAATATAAATTTGTTAAAAGAGACGGCAGACTAGTAATTCCAGTTTAAAACGTCTAATAAATTATTCATTAATTTCAAAGGCTTCAATTTATTCAATTTTTTTTATCAAACTCAAACTTCTCACAGATAATAAATTATATGGTTTATTTTTAATATTAATTATCACTATGAAAAAATATTTCTACCGAAAAAGAAATTCACTCAAATTGTTTGAACTTTTGTGTTGAAAACAAACTATTGTGGAAATAGTTATTTATTCGACGAGTTTGAGTGTAAATCGGACGGATTATCTCACCGAGTGGGTTACACACTCGTGGTTTATCATCCACGAGGTGGAATAAAGCGTCTGATTTACACTCAAACGAGTTGAATACAACATTTTATTCTTCGAATTAGACTCAATAAGGCTTAAACTTGCTTTAAATCTGTTAAAAATAATCTGATGTTTGGTATTGAGAAATGTCAAACAGTTGTCAAAACTTCCTTACACGGGAGAAAAACCGTAAATTTTGACAGTGTCGAAGAATAATAGTTATTTATTATAAATTATATTATATATTATAAAGTGGCCGTTTAATGAGCTGTTCGTTTCAGAGAATTAAACGGACACTTTATCCTGCGAATGTAATACAACATTTTACTCTATTTTGCCATATAAACCTTTCGATTTTAAAGATAAAAATATCAGTCATCAAATCGTCAGACATTTAAAAATTTCATGATTATCCTGATTCCTATGCGACGACCATGACAACGACTTGTTTTTATAAACAAAGTTGGAAAAAAAATTGTAGGGCAAGAGCCCGCGG